ATGTGCCATGATTCGTTGTCTCGCCGATCAGTTTAGTTTACTGACACATGGGGGTCCAACGGTTGCGGAAATACACGTGAATTATTCAGTGAACAATGAAAACTTCAAACACTGTGGACCGTACACAATTGCTAACTCCCAATAAGTGTCTAAGTAGTTTATGAATAGCCCCTAATAACTTGTTTAAAAAAAAAAACAACAAAAAATATGGCAAAATGTCTGTAAACATTTTAAATGAGGACATAACAAAAATTATGAAAATTGCGTAAAACCAGAATTGAGTGTAGTAAACTCTCATTGTTGCTTGCTTAATCATATATTGAAAAATCGCAGTTTTGACCCCAGAAAGCGTTAATTGGAACAGGAGCGATAATTGGTACCATCGTGATAGTAATGTTTGATACCCAAGATAATTCTGAAATGAGTTCCAAGGAAATTCTTAGGAATATTTCAAGGATTAATTTCCAAAGGGCATAACTATTAAAGAAAATTATGGGGAGGATAGGAAAAGGATTTTCCTAGAGAATCATTAAGAATACTAAGATCAGGGTGGCCACTAGTTTTAAATTAATAATAATAATTAATAATTAATTAAATTCTCTGTTTTTACAGGTAATTGTTCAAAGTCTCAGAATCCTTATATATTGTTCACAAATAGGTATTTATTATATTGAAAAATAAACTTAACATTTAATAATAAAAAATGTCCGGATCAATGAACCGGTATTCGGTGCATTATGGTATATTGAATTTGGAAATTTATCTAGAAAACAATTAGATCCACGATGGAATCGCGGAATAAATAATTTTTCAAAGATTACATGAGATTTTCTGAAGGATTTTAAACTGTTTCATATTCTTTAATTTTTAAAGCTTTCAGACACCGAAAACATTAAATGTTCAAAAATATGGTGTAATTATCAACATCTCAGACTGGGGCCTCCCTTAGCTCAATCGGTAAAGGCGCAGCTACAACGCAAGACCATGCTGGAGGTGACTGGGTTCAATTCCCGGTCCGGTCTAGGAATTTTTCGGGTTGGAAAATTTCTCGACTTCCCTGGGCAATAGAAGTATGATTGGACTTGCCACACAATTATACCAATGCAAAAATGGTACAGGCATCGAAAGCTCTCAATTAATAACTGTGGAAGTGCATCTAGAACACTAAGTTGAGAGCACGCAATAAGCTAATATGCGATATGCAATAATCTTGAAATGCGAAGAAGAAGAAGAAGCTTGTTAAGAACCGTTACATTACAAGTGTTGATATATTTTTTTTTATTGGTTATCAAGCTGGAGCTGCGTGACAGCTTAGTTTTCAAGACTTGACCCATTTGAATAAATTTTGCTTCTATCTTTGACAATACAGCAGAAAGACTAGCCTATGTTGGCCGCTTGAACACTGGATTCCGTATGTATTGTTTCAAGATAGTTATAAAAAAAATGCTGTGACGTGTGCGCGTAGATACATCCGCGTAGTAAACCGATTGAATAAGTAAATCCGTTTCGAACTAAATATCTAAATTATGTAAGTTACGAAAACCGCGCGAATTCCGAAAGCCGTGCGAGACAACCGAAGCGAGAAAAAAGGCATATTATCATTTAAAGAGTGCCACCAAAATAAATGTGATAGCCTATGTTGGCAAGTTGATTAATTTTGGTTTCCTCCCTAGATATTCTACTTATTTACTACTGAGCTTTGTATCAAATTAGTTAATTTAAAGAACGTATCAATCATTTCAAGATTTCGCGACCGCACCGAACAAATTCTATACTACATAAGCTCAAAAGCGTTTGACAAGCTCTACCGAATTGCGTATCACTTCTGCGCAGTCTTGTAAGCGGTCACGGTAGTCGACACATTTTCTGTGATAATTGACTGCCTTTGCCTCCGACACTTGCAAAACAAGCTATCATAGTACAGTACCAAACTAAAATGTCATATGACAGGCTCTGTCATACGACACTGTCGCCGAAGACCGTCACCAATGTATGTATTTTAGTTTTTCTAATAATAAGAGCTGCTGATGTTGTGCTCATATATTTTCATTATATAAATAAATACTGGGTTGGGAGGGAGCATCAGGGTATCATTTGACCTGGGACTGGACGATGGAGTGGTATGACAACCGGAGTCTAGGAGGGAATAAACACTATCATTTTCTTTATCCTACCGATTCGATTGTGGTGGTGTGAATTCTACTTCAACAGTTTCAGTGAGATTGACGCGCCCTTCTTTACAAACCATCCTGTAGGAAGCTTAATAAGTATTGCGAATTGTGTTATTCGATTTGTTGGATCGTATTGTTGGAAGGAGATTCTTAAATTCCCGTGGATTTCGTGTAAGTGTCTCTGCTTACGGGTCCGCACCTCCGTTTTTGGCCCTTCATACAGCGATATTGTGAATTCAGATCGGTAGCTCAAATTGATCTTGCTATTAAGTGGAGCTGCATACAAGACAACCAAATTCAGGAAATGCAACGAAATCACACATGTCAAATGATAGCTATTTTGATAATTTTCTTTTAGCTCGAATGTTATTCTACCGCTCGTGTTGTGTGAGAGAGACGACGGTAGAGCATGAATGTTCGAATACAAACAGACTGTCGCGCACGACAACGAAGCGAGTGTAGTAAAAAACGTCAACTGTTTCAACCCCTGCTTCTGCGTAAGCTCCGTAGACGTAGGCGCGTTGAATCCGACAGTCGGCAAAGGTTAAGGAACGACCTCGAATCAGTAAAACCGTTTAGAGCTTTAGAACATCTAAATTACGTAAGATACGAAAATCGCGCAAATTGTGAACGCCACGCGAGACAACGGTAGAGAAAACACTTAAAGAGTGCCCTCAAAATAAATGTGATAGCCTATGTTGGCAAGTTGATTAATTTTGGTTTCCTCCCTAGATATTCTACTTATTTTACTATTGAGCTTTGTTTCAATTGTTTTACCGCACGTATCAATCATTTCAAAATTTCGCGACCGTACCGAACAAATTCTAGACTACATAAGCTCAAAACACTTTTGGCAAGCTCTACCGAAATGCGAATCACTCCTGCGTAAGATCCGTAGACGTAGGCGCGTTGATTCCGACAGCCGCGAAAAGTTAAACGTGCATCGATGCGTCAATACCACATAAGGAAAGATCGATTTTACAAGTGTTGATATTGTAATCAATTTCCCTTTGATTTCCCGGTTGAGTGGTCACCCTGGTTTTCGAAAATTACGTGATTTTTTATGCGGTGGCTCTCCGGCATATAAACTGACGTAATACGTATCGAAAACATAAAATAAATAAATAGGGAAAATGACGGCTTCGGTTCAACATCCAAGCTCCCGTTTTGAGACCATCAGTCACGAATCATATTTTACGGGCAATGGTTGAGGAATACCTGTAGCCTTTGGGTTCTCTCTACTGACACCCACGACGTCTCGCTGACGTACAACAGCACAGACCTCACTTTCGAGATAAAAACTCGGACCTGCGCAAACCTAGCTGGTCTGATCTACAAACACTTCGCAAACTCGCAAAGGCATCCCTGGGCATCTATGTCACTCTTGATACCGTCTTTTAGAGTAAGACTTTTTCCCAAAGCACAAAATTTGTGTTTCGAGATGATAAATTATAACATTTGTACCTACTTTGGGGGCGTACAACAAGATACACAATAGTGAGGAGGTAATTTTATTACAGCGTATGATTATGTTTTACTTGAAGATGATTTTAGGAGTATCAGGCTTTAGACATCAGAAAGCTAGAATTCCCTATAGTGGGGTAAAAGTTCGAGTCATGCCCAAACCCATGAAGACTCTCCCGGAAAAAATCGTTCTAGCTACGAATGAACTGAAAATTCATCAAAGCTTGGAGTTTTGAGATATTTTAATTTTGAATCTGAATCTGAACTTTTGCCCCACTTTACTCTATGCTAATACGAGTGGGTTCAAATTCTCTTTTGCTAATGCCCAGGGTTTTTCCCCTTGATTTGTTTTCCGCACTGAGCACCAATGCTACCGACGCCAGGTAGGCAACTCCCACACCTGGACCCTACCTATCGACCCATCAACTCATGAACCGGGAACCAACGGCTTCACGTGATCAGATATGTTATGATGCCGACGGTGCCGACTGGGATTGAACCCAGGCCTGCTTATAGTCGCTATATTCATAGTCTGGTGGATAGAATTTCGATTGATCAAAAAGCGGAACCAATTCAATATATTTTAGACCAACAATTGGAAAGGTACTATCAACTATTATAAACAAAAGGTTGATTATTCTTTTCTCTCCAATCGAACGAAATTACCAGCATCATCGGATAGGGGAAACTTTCCTCAACCCAAATATGGCGTTAGTTTGCGTTGGCGAGCCTTGAGTCACGAGAAAAGGGTTTCCGAAGTTTTGTTCGCAATAGCTGATGTGCTCTGTTCTGTTGTTGGTCGTGATTTGCTCGATTGGTTCCGCTATTTGACAGCTCAATTGGTTCCCAAGATTCTATCCGCCAGACTATGAATATAGCGACTATAGGCCTGCTGGGGTGAGAGGTAATCTAATGCCCACGACACAGAAATTCTAGCTCTAAAACAACACTTTTTTTTTCAAATAAGGTAGGGTGACTGAAATATTTACCATTCTTTAATACAAGATTTTATCGATAAGTAGATAAGGCATACCAATCAAGATTCCAATTATTAGTACCTAACTGAACCCTGAACTATTCACCTATACACAAGAAGGACCAGACTAATCATGTATCTAGCGATAGATTTTCATTACAACAGCAAACAGGCAAATCTAATAAGTTGTGCCTCTACATTGCATGAATGAATAAGCAAACGGGTAAAACACAAAACGCAATTCAAGACCGAAAGGAGAAGGCTAGAGCGAGAGAGCGAGAGGTGGTCGATCCGCGAAGTAAACGCCGAGGTAGGTACCTATAATACTTTGCATGGTTCCCAAGTGTGGAAAAGGCAGAAAAAATGAAGCCAAGGTTCAGCGCACTCACCGTAATATTGGCATGGATGTCGTATTGTTTTCCGTTGCGGCCGATGAAACGACAGCTCAGCTCATCCACCGAGGCGGTCAGGATCCGGAACCGCTCGTGGCTCTTGGTGAATATTTGCTCCAACGTTTTGATTTCCAGTTTCAGGGTGTTTAAACACGCCATTTCTCGGATTCCTTACTTCACCTCACTCACTGCATTTATTTACCAGGAACTTTGTCCACTTTAGAAAATACACTCACACGCTTGCACTAGAAGATGTCGTGTCGGGGAATCTTTTCACTGATCTTTTTCCGTAGTAGAATTGATTCAGACACTTTTGTTGACTTGATTCTTCGAAGCTTACTTCAACTGTGTTTGCTAGTAGATAATTTACGCTTCACTGCTAGGAAATAAGAACAAAATAGTGGTTATTCTCTATTCTGCTCAAACCGAGCCACATCCACTTTTCTACGGCTGGTATTCATCTAGCGAACCATATTTCAGCACTTATTTCCGCTAGCCTTCCGTGATTTCACACACCACTCACATTGCACGTTCACTCTGCTTCTTTGGTCGGTACCAAACCGTATAGGTAATACTGAAACTGCTGTTTTTCTTCGCGAACCATCAGCAGCAGCTCCACCATAGGTAGCAGAAGTAGATGTGAACAATGAGCAACTCACTCGTTCGTAGCACACTCTTGCATTCGTTCGCCATACTGGCTAATGATGGTGAGACAGTGTTGCCAGATTGTCAACGCACGCATGAAAACCGACACGGCGAACATGGACTTATCAAATCAAGATTTATAAATAATATTTACAAGGCGACTTACACTCATGATGATAACACATAAGTTGCCGTGTTGTCACACGGGTATACTTTGTAAAACATTGTGCACTATTAAACCCTTCGAATTCGAACTACAATGCAACTAAAGCTTACATGATTGTGTAAACAATGGCTTCAAACGTCAATAATTATAAATTATTTATCGAAACGTAAACCAACAAACACCACCATCAGGTAGGGGAAAATCTCACAGTTTGTGTGAGCGAGCTCTAATGGGCCACCCACAATGGATACATTGCGTTTGCGTGAATTTGACAGTTAACCCATTGGTTATCTGTCAAATTTACGTCGACGGAATGCAAACGTATCCATTGTGGCTGGCCCTTAAGTTTCGATAAATTAACGTTTGTAGCCATTGCATTGTTTATAAAAACAAGGACTCACGTCGATTTGGCTGTTTACTCGAGAAAACAAAATTTCTGTTAATAAAATCTTCTATTTTTTTTGGTATGAGATTTACAGTACCGGACAACGTAATTTTGTTTTTATCTCCAAAAATAACTTCCAATAGCTGTAACTTTTCTGGGTGGGCGTTAAAAGCTCTGAAATCTTGGCTGATGGTTGTGTATTGGATATTGCCCTTTATTCTGCGCCGCGAGTGAGGTGAGATGACTCGCTGTCACTAGTGAGGTGACCAAAGTCACCGCGAGTGAGATGACTCTCCGTGCAAATTAAATGGAGAGTCGCCTCACTAGTAACAGCATATCACCTCACTACCCTCACTTCCCCTGTCTTTTTTGAGCGGGTATGCATAAAAATTGAAAGAAATTTATCTACCTTTCCATACGTACGTACCGTTGGATTTGATAAAAAGTCTCAAGTTGTTAAGATATTTGATTTGCACGGGTGACTCGCGGTGACTTTTGTCACCTCACTAGTGAGAGCGAGTCACCTCACCTCACTCGCGACGCAGAATAGGCCTCAGCATGAACATTAATACCAGAAGCGAGCGGAAATACGTAATGCTCTCTGTAGAATGATTGTCATCCCAAATTGAAATGCATATGGTATTGGTTGAGCCCCATAACGAAAATCATCCAAATGATGATGTAAACAATTCTATCGAACGTCATGAGCTGACAAACGAGGTAGAAACATAATCATCGCTATCAGAGATGATACAAACATTGGTAAAACGTGGAAACCGAAGATTGTCTATAGACTTCTCTGACGTTTGTGAAATGTACAAGTATTAGTGCAGAACTTTGGGTAAATTATAAATATTAGTGCAAGAAAATCTTTGAATTTACCAAAAGTTCTGCACTAATACTTGTGAAATTCACAAACGTCAGAGAAGTCTATTCCGTGATGGATGAAGTTTCCTCTACCAACAAACGACTTTTGGTTCCAAAATGGAATGGGTGTTCATGGCTATTCAGTATGGAAATGTAAACAATCGAATTAAAAATCTATTTTAAAGCAATTGAAAGACATCCCATTCTTAACTTGTTGTCCTGTGAGCGCTGTATGATTTACAGCCAATTTTCAAATAAATATTATCATTTATTTGGATGACAGTCATATGCTCATCAGCTGATGACGAATTAAACCATAAGGCAATCATCCGAAATTCGAAAGCATATTGTTAAAGGGCTCGAGCAATGCAATAATCAGTCTAAGTATTGCGGATGTTTTCGTTCAGTGTACGAGTTTCAATTCCGTCCTAGAGTCGGTGTACAATAGTCACGCCAAGAGAAAAACAATTGAACTAGCATGACGGTCTTCGAAAGATTCCCTTTCTTTTCACTTGGCAACAGAGGACTTCTACATCAACTTCTAATGACTTCTAGCGAGAAAAGAAATAGCGGCTGTAGTGAATCATTATATCAGTGATTTTGTCAAATTATATTATCAAAAAATAGTAGAAATTTTAATTTTAATGAAAATTTAATGCTCACTGCGTGTTTATGATTATTTCTTCAATTATATTTTATATTTTATTGCAATACCTTTCGTGGACCGCTCATAGCATCGTAATGTTTGCAATAATAAAAAGAAAGAAACTTTGAAGTAGATTTCATGATTTTTGTTAATGCTGCGAAGTATACCAAAATAATTTTCAGGAGCTTTCATCGGAGAATTTCCGCAATTCTGTGAGAATTTAGGAGTGAATTCAAAGAGTTCCAAGATGAACTATTAGTAATTTGCTAAGGAAACTTGTTGAGATTCCACAGGAAAACATCAAGTTCCAGAACTCAGAAAAAATAGAATTAACGACGTGTTCGGGGTAGCATCCAAACCATTTGTGGAATAGTTCAATCATTTTGGTTAACGTTCGTTTATGGTATTTTTTTTATTATGGTATATCTACTCGTAGGTACAAAAAACTCAAATGTTTACTGCATTTATTCGATGGAAACCTAACGAAACAAACATGAGCATGGTACCAATAATTATTGATGTTTGAGCGGTTTTCATGAGTTTTGGGTTGGAAATCATTTTTGGCGTTGTTTGTTTGTATGAGTGCGGGAAAATGCATGAAAATATGAACCGTGAGATTTGATAATGATTTCCCTATAACACTGATCGACCTAAATACTCCATACATATTTTGTACGAAACGTTTCGTAGAAAGAAATTTCGTTATGTCTCAAAATGAAGGAAAAAGTCCCCTCTTTCAAAGGTAAAGCTGAACGTTTCAGGCATGCCGTTTGTTTGTTCTAATATACACACATAATACATTTACAATAGGATTAACTGCTGACAACAGAATGTATTGTATTGTATGTTATTGTGATTATGAATTTTACTCTTATGAATCATTTTGCGGATCTCTTGAAATGTTCCGTATGCGACTAAAGCAACAATTCAATAGAAAGTTTATGACCAAACCCACGGTATTAGACCGGGAATCCTCAGGAAACTTTATTTTTCATAAAAATACCTGGAAGGCTCAGTGAATTTAATAATTTTATTACTAAGGATATTTTAAAGAAAATAATTAATTTTAAAATACAAGCATTTAATTTTTCTCGCTATTTTCATTCACACTTTGAGCATTATAGATAGAGTGGATTAATCTTCATTAACAAATAAATTTTAAAAAAACGAGACTTGAAATGTTGTTTTTGTTTTGTTTTTGAACATGCATATTTCCTAGAAATTTTAAATTTGAACTAGTTCTGGACTTAAAGCGATAATACTTTAAGAAATTTTCAAGAATCTGGAGTCAAATTCCATGCAGTTTTAAAAGCTCGTGGAATTTTATTAAAATTCGTTAGGACCTCAATTCGAGGAGGTTCTGGCAAAAAAAATCTTTCAGAAAAACATGAAATGCAATCTGCTTTCAAGGTAGTTCTGAGGAATTTAAGATTTCTTGTAAAGCCTGATAGTTTTGAGTAGAATTTCAAGAAACCCTGAATTGAATTGAAAGCAAATTATAATGAAAACTCTTAGTAATTTCTGAGGAACAACTCCTTCAGAGGAAAATTCCAAGGGTCTTTTGAGGATAATTTCATCAAGTTTATAGGAGAAAACGAATCCGGGACATAAGTCCTTGTAATCTTTTTGAATATACTAATAGGAGGATTACAATTAAATCTGAGAATAACTCCATAACATCTTCAATGGAATTCGCAAAATAAATTCAGGAGAGACGCAAGAGACTTTTTAGTGACTTGCTTGAAAAAAGTGACCAAGTCACTAAAAAGTGACTCGCTACCAGCCCTGGAGTTGAAGGTTATTGCGTACCCTTAGAGGCAGTTACGCTTACCACTACATCACCGGCGCCGCAAATTTACTTATTTCCAAGAACAAAATCGTAAACAATGTTGTAACATTTACTGTTTTGATGCTGTAAAACCTTAGCAATTATTTGGTTGCAACGGTGTACATACCCAATAAAAATAACCATAAAAGAGAGCAATGACGTGTTCGGGGTATCATCCAAACCATTTGTTGGATACTTTACCCATCCGGGATACAGTTCGTTTATGGTATTTGTTTATTAGGGTATTTACCTTATTTGACAAATCTCAGATAATCATGACGTTTGGTTATTGAAAACAATTTAAATGAAGAAAATATACCGACTGCTGTCATGATTACCTGAGATTTCTCGCGTAACATTTGAATAGGGCCTATGATCAAAATGTAAACAAACCGATTTTTGATACCATTCTGTAGCACTGGTAATCAGCTACCAGTCGTATAGGAACGTTCCGCATTATCGATAAAAATCATTAAAAATAACTTGATTTTAAAAACGGCCAATCCACGAAATTTTTCCAATCATTTATGCTAAAACGGCCTAACCTCGGGCCTAACATATATTTTTTTTCGTTCGATGAGGTTCCATTCATAAGCCTAGCGACGTAGAAGGTCCGATGATTGAAAAATTTCAAATCAAAGCTAGGCCCTACTGCTTGAGGCAGGGCCGATGATTTATTTGACGTTAAGAAAAGGCTTAGCAAAGGGCCTACAATTTATGATGACAAGCACAACGGCTTAATAAAAAGGGCCTAACCATTTAAAGATTCACAAAAAGGCTTATTACTGTGATATTAAATTTTTATCGATTTTCATGTATTTTTGAAAACGTTTCGCATGTTTTGGATGTTGTGTACTGAGATATAGTTACTATTGTTATTGTGAACAATATAAATGCCTAAAATACTTCAATTTATTTAAATATGAATTAAATACTGGCGGAAAAATTTACAATTCATTTTCTGGATTGTTTACAATTTGGACATAGGCCCTTTTCAAATGTTACGCGAGATTTGTCAAATAATGTAAATATTTACACTGCCTGTCCCGAAGTTTACATCACATCGCCGCAAGAGCAGTTTGTTGTTTTGTTTATATTTTTATTTTTGACAGCTCCCATACCAAGTTGTGTAGTCTGAAATGCATAACATAATATCGTTAACTGCGTGAATGTAACAAAAACCCAATAATGCAATAGTTTAGCCGTCAAACAATCAACTGTTACAAAGTTACTGTCTTCCCCACAGTTCCCCTAAGCATTTGAACAACAAACTTCATAGCACCCAAACTGCGCTACTAGTCATCATGGTTGTCACTAACACCCTCTCGAGATCGACAATAATCTGAGAAAAAAAATGGCAACACTGGTCTCGGACACCATCATACAGCAGCAGCAAAATGAGAACGGGAAAATTTTCCTTTCTTCTTCCGCCCCAGCTAAACTGAGCCCAAAAAAAAAATCTTCGTGATGCTCACACAGCTATAACCACTACTTACACCAACACACCGACGATAAAATAATATCCAACTCGGAGAAAAAGGCGACGACCAGCAGAAGGGAGTAGAAAAAAAATAACTTCTTTCTTTATACGGGACCTTCTGGAACTACACAATTCCGTCGATTTTCCTTCCACGGCACAATTCTTCTAGGCGATGCACTTTTCAGCTTCCTGAACACTCCAGGTGGCCCTTACCGTTCGATTTCTATCGAGTGCACTAGTTTTTCGACAATTTTCCACTCTTTCATTAGCAAACTACACAGAGACAAGGCAGTAAAAAAACGACGTCGCGAAAATCACCATTCGAAAAAAGGTTTCAATCGCACTGACCGAGTACTGCGAGAAATTCGTCTACGTCCGACCGATACTGCGAGCTAACGAGGAAAACGAACCAACTCTGCCTGCTCTGCTGCTGGTGAAGTGGTGATGCGAGAGATGCTAGCTCTGCGACGTGACGACTAGCTTGCCTGCGCCTGTCCATGAGGCAGAAAGAGATGCACTTATGCAGCGTGGCTCATGTGGAAAAAGAAACGAAACAGTTTGGTGGTTTCTTTTGAACTTTTTCGGAGGAAAACACGCTCGAGGGGCGACCCGGTGGCTTAGCTATTACAAACAAAATTTTTAATGTCAATTTTAATGTCATGTAATTTTACAAAAGGCCCATACAGCCAATGACATTTATATAAGGTCTGGGCCAACAGGCAGCTTGCTGGTGTTAGAAGCAAAAATGTTGTAAACATTGCTGAACATCTGCGAACAGATAGATATACGTCACTGCCAACATACTGAGAACAGATAGATATACGTCACTGCCACTGTTTCGTGTAAAAAGATAAACATTGCAATATAATACGAACACCACTAACCATTTGCACATTTCACTAACACCAATAAGCCCTTTGGCCCAGACCTTATATAAACGTCATTGCCATACAGCCACATTATTATGCACGGAGTGACGAAACAACTCAAAATTAAGTATTTTGTACTCATCTTGACACCTACACTAAAAAAATATTCAAAACTAAATAGTATAAAAGTTACACTAAATCGCAACTCTCCTGACCGACGCATACACAGCAAAAAAAAATGTAATATCGATCAACGTAATTCAAGCTGATGTATGAAATAATGATGTGATAGCAAAAAGCAGATACAATATTACATCAATGGATGTAATTTTGTTCGCAAAATCTATGTACATCGTACAATGTGATATTACACAACCGATGGATTGGCCTGGTTGCAGCAGTTTCGATGTAATATTCAACAACTTTTTTTGCTGTGTAGCTTGGTATAAAGACAGAGAATGCACGCCTAGTATAAAACTGGATTAAGGATAGTTCAGTTTAAATATACTTTATACATGCAGTGATTAGTCTTGCTGTATGCTGGTTTTAGATTGCTTTGCGTTTTTGTTTTGATTTTTGGTTTCTTTTGAATTTATCAATTTGTTCACAGGATTGAAACATTGAACCATTTTTATTTTTCTAGCAATAAACATTTACAATGTCTTCATTTTACTTTATCGCTTAGTGCTACTGAGGATGTACCAATATTAGAACGGATATAACTTTACTACCGACACCGACCATATTTCTTCGGCCACGCAACAGTTTCAATCCAAAAGCCGAAAGAATCGACGCCGGTAGGGTTATGTTGTCGTAGTAGAGTTGTTCGCTCTCCGATCCGGATGTTAGCGAATTCATTGACAGTCAACAGAGGGCCCTTATTATGTGCTCTATAACCATTACCAGCGTATTTCAGTCGCCGCGAATTTCTCCGGTGTCACCTACTTTCCAGCTCAGGTTTCTGTTCCTTATTTTTATTCATGAAAACGACTGACAGCACAAATCGATTTTCGAAGCGATCAATCTGTGAAGCGAAATGTCTTATACTACGGCAGGAAGACATACTTGGCATCTTCATCGCTGAAATTAGAGGGTAGAACGGGTCGAACAGAAAGGATAGTTTAATTTGGGAAATGATTTCATAAAAAAAATGTCAGCAGATCGAACGAAGTGATGCCTAAGTAAACTTTAACATAAATATCAACTCACCTTAAATTCATCCATCGGAAGCATCGGAAGATATTCTTCCAGCCGTCTTGCGTCAGGTCTCTGGAACTGTTGTCATCTGAGCGATCCCCACTTCAATTTCCTCCGTCGGTTTTCTGTCCTGGATTCTGCTCACTTTTTTTTAAATCATGTCAAAGGCTAAATCAGCAGTATACACTGAACGAATACTTCATCGGTATTCAGACTTAGTATAATTTTGACAAAAAAAGAATTAGATTCCATGTATAAATATTGATTAAGCATAAAATGATTAAATTTTAATCTATCTGTGTATAGTAATATTTTTGAGTGTAAGTGCAACCACTCAAAATTAAGTTATTTGCGAAGTATCCAATTTTGAGTAATTTGCAAAGACTTCCTTTTGAGTCAAATGTAACTGTTTTGTGAAGAACACGTCTATCACACCGGAGAAAAATAGAACTGTATGCATAGTTCCTGGCTGCTATCAGCGGTATGGCCAAGGCTGTTCATTCCACGCATTTCCCAAAAAGGAAGATAGAAAACGAATGAAAGCGTGGGTGGCAAAACTACGGTTAAACTTCGAACCGACTTCGACGTCGAGGGTTTGCAGCTCTCATTTTAGCATTGCGAATTTTGTTAGTCCTAGTGAGTGGTGGTTTGTATTTGTATGCTTGTTAAAAGTAATGTGCACCGCTTTTATTCTAGCTACTAAACGGCTTACCGATCGAATGATACTGAAAAGTACAGCTATACCTGATATCAACCTTCCCCGACCAATTTCTAATTCGATAAAAGACAAAGCTGCTGTGGATCGCGCAGATCGAGCAGCTAGGCGAAATCAACAAGATGATATTCTAGAAGACAGCCAAATGTCCATCTGTACAGATGCTGAGGAAGAAAATAGCATGGTTAAAGCACCAGAACTCAAGGAAGTAGCTGTCCAGGTGGATACTCTTGATTTGGATAAACTTTTTATCGGTCGCCGTAGGACTATGACTATTCAATTTAAAACCGACTCGGAGTTGACTTCTTGGACCGGACTGGCATCCCGCAAAATGTTGAGTACCATCGTTAAGGGTTTGAGTTCGTTGGCTGCCTATAAGAAGCGATCTCACTCTACCATTTCTGTGGAAGAGGAAGTGCTTGTTGTTTTAATAAAAATGAAAACAAATTTATCGTTCTCTTGCATGAGTACCCTGTTCAATTTGCATTACCAGACAATTTCGTTGGTGTTTTACCGCACAGTTCCGTGGTTGAAAATAATTTGTACTCCTTTGATTCCTTGGCCGTCACTGGAAGAAGTTAGCCGTAACATGCCACACTATTTTCGTCCGGATTATACCGATGTTGTCGCTGTACTCGATTGCACTGAAATGGCAATTAAAAAACCAAGCTGCCTTCACTGCAGGATCAATGCATATTCGCATTATAAAGGGCGTGAGACTGCGAAGTACTTGATTTCAGTTACCCCAGGTGGGACGATTTCTTACGTTAGTCGCGGATATGGTGGAAAGGCTTCTGATAAGCAAATAGTTGCCGAGGAAAATGTGCTGGAGAAGCTGAAGATTGGAGAAGCTGTGATGACCGATAAAGGTTTCAGCATTGATGCTGAATGTAAAGCCCTGGGAGTGAAACTTGTACGGCCACCATTTCTGACTGCACCTCAGTATCAGTTGAGTAGGATGGAGGCTCACGAAAATGTCTCTATAGCTGCAGCAAGAGTACATGTGGAAAGAGCTATACAACGCATAAAATTTTTCGAAATATTCAACAACAAAATCGATGTACGTTTCCTTCCTGTATTGGATGATCTAGTTTACATTGTCTGTGGAATTGTCAACATTTCGAAGCCAATTTTGTCTAACGCACGATTTTAAAAGTAGCTGTTTTTTATTACACAAAAGCATATTCGTTATTACTTGTTTCTAGTATATTTGTCAACCATTAAATGTAGCAGTATACAAGTATTTTAGAAAAACATTGAAATAAACTTCTTTCAGCACTGCCACCAATGATCGAACGTATTCAAAATCAAATTGAATTTCTATAACATAACACGTATCTTCGTGCTCTGAGTAGATTATAAAATCTGTTGATTTACATTTAACTATAAACATGTTTAGTTGAACCTGAGCGTAGTACTGGTGATTTTTCTTCAAAACCATATTCTTTGTGAAATAGGGAAGATCCTTGATGAAATCGCTCAAAGGTTTATTTTTTCCAACCTCCGGACATTTGATTTCGATTACTTTTTCTTCATCGATAACGATTCCGTCAGGCGATCCTCCCAACCATGGCATATGAGGGGGTACAACAAATCCACTTCTCAAAACGTTTTTTCTAAAATCCCTCTCATATGCTGCCACAGCTTTTATTTCACATCGAAGACCATGTTCAATTGCAGGTGTAGAAAAATGTTTTGGCATCACCATAGTCAGAATTTTCTTTCGCCAGTCCTTATCCTTTTGGGGTTGAGTTGTATAGTATGTATACAAGGAGTAAGCCCTGGATGCAGTAATCCGACGGCTTCGTTCATCTTTCCACTTCGATGATTTACTTTGCTCAATGGTTCCTGTACAGATTTCCAACGATTCGTGTTCGGAAACATTTATGTTTACTTCGAAATAAACATACAGATCCTTTTCCAATGGACCTACGAATTCCATTGTCTCATTGTCAATCGTCGTGAAATTATCCGGATGGAACGCTCTCTTCAAAAACGATTTCAGCAGACAACATGTGAGGTCTTCTTCAATGGAAATCAATGAGTCCATGGAAACTGAAGAAAGGTTGTTGTTCTGAATGTCCAAACAAAGAAGTTCATTTAAGATATTGGTTTCATCACTTTTCTCAATATCTCTCATTTCTGGCCGGCCGTTCATTTCGTATGCCAGACTACTTTCAGGGAAATCTAAAAAAAATTATGAAAGCATGATCACAATAAAATAACAAGTTGATATTGAAAAAGAATTTAATAATAAACCTTCTACGAAAAGCCGAAGAATGTTTGTCTCTTCTTCCGGAGTCAGAACTACTGGCGTAGCAGCTGGTGAAGTAGCAGAAACACCTCCAGCCGAATCGTCAATTTTTGCATTCTTCTTGCAAAACGATGTCAATAGAGTAGCCTTGTATATGTCTCCAGCAACTTTTTCGGCAATTTTTCCCCACTTTTGCAGCACTTCGGTTGCAGTGAGTAGTGGAAGTGATGGAAACCTAAAAAAAAAACAAATGTGTTTTAACAATTGTATTCCAAAAAATTTGAGTACTTACATAAGTAAATGGTTTAAAACTGCCATTACATGCTTGCATTTTCCCATTCCAGCCTTACACGAACACTTCAAGGTC